GGGAAAACCATCTAGTTGCAGACTGTGCTGTGACTAATATCAAACTGCCATTATAAATAAAGATGAGGAGATTTGTATAAATGTTGTTTCATAAACCATGTTTAAACATAAATTTAAACTTAAAGTAAATAGCATGCATGAAGTTACATTTAGCTAGTAAAGAAATGACAAGCAAATATTACAGGGGCAATTGAAATTTTGTTTATCGTCCTTCAACTGATAATTACGCTTGTCCAGCGTTTTTAAGTTAGTGACGTGCATGCAACTCATTCTCAATAAGACAATCGGTTGATGGCTTCTTTGTTGGTATGTCATTTGATAAAACATCTGTGTTTATTAAGGCCTTTTATCTATACGTGCCGATTAAGGATGTTGCAAGATAATAAAGCATGACATATATGTCGATTAACTTAAAAATCATGAATATATAGATTATAAAACGATATTTCATCACACATTTATTCAAAGGTTATTCGGAAAGTCATATCAACCACGAAACCTATCGCACATCGTTCGTGTATTTCGTCCTTCGTGCGCCTAGTCATGCACAAGGAACGAATCGCTCATTTATCTTTTATTTTATCTATGTTTATAGTGTACACATCATGCGAAAAACATCTTTTAACGTTGTGCGATGTCAAAACTTAACCTCTTTTTATTTGATTTTACTCAAAGTTAAAAACAAAAGTGTTATTTTTGCTTCAAATTTTAAATTTTGTAAAAACACCTGAAATAAGATTTGTTTTTGACACTTCAGGAACAGTTGCTATAACGGGAAGTGCTGTACAATCAACAGATCAGGACACGAGATGGACAGCAGATAAAGCTATAACCAATTGCATCATTCAAGTGATTGGACCCCCACCTCATTGCTGTGCACACACAGGTGCCGGTAATCACAAACAAGTCTGGTGGCGCGTGGATTTAGGACAGAGCATAACAATACAATCCATCACAATACTCTACAGAAGTAAGTTGTTGTGTAATCTGATCTGATGTTGTGTGGGGAATTTATTTCGATTCAAATTATCATAAGTTTCGCTACTCTCCGGTTTTGTGAATTAACATTACTTGACGCCCAGCATCAGATAACAAGGAATACCGACCACATACACATTGCATATACTGTTTGATTTCACTAATTGTTATAGGCATTTGGTGATTAACACAACTTTTTGAAGGATTTTATTGTCGGCTGCAGGTGATCGTATAACTTAGTTGGAAGAACGTTTTATTTTATTTGCAAAGTTTCAGGCTCTTATACTCATCTGACGTTTGTAACGTTTGAATGCTAGTTGTGAGTGCCGAAATGGCAGCACCGGCTGTATGCTCCTCAGGGAGTTGGGACAGATATTGGCTGGTTGCAAAGGCCCTATAACCACGGATAATGATTTGTAAACCGCTTTAAGACGACCTACGAACTAGGTTGTGATAAAGCGGTATATAAGAACCTCGAATTATTATTATTATTATTAAGACTTTGAGCTTATATAAGGGCACGATTTTACAGTTGCTGATCATTGATTCTGATAATGATCCCACCAACCAAAGTGTTGTTGTCTCTAGCTTTGGACGGTATTGTTAATAGGCCTGTTTGTTCTTATTCGGGTCCCGGCCTTGATGTCGGAAATCTTTCAGGATTTGTTATTTTGGCCAAAAGCCTTTGAGCGCTGACCAGGGTCTTTGGCTATTGCTGACAGATCTTTCTCAAGTTTCACATATCAGTTTCGAAATTCCAATTTTACTTTGGGACTGATCGGAAAAACAAATGTTGAAAGGACATTCTCAACTCCAGCAGTATAGAAATGTCAATCAAAATTTACTGCAGGATTCATTTGCTGCTGACAAGACTATCAATTCAGATAATGGATAAGAGGAGAGTTGAAGGGGAAAATATCAAAATTACATAGAACTTAAATAAATATCTTACGATGGTGGGTGCCAAGATCCATATGTCAATACTAGCAGTGCATGCTTGTAATAAACATACGTCAAAGTTTGTCTTTGAGGCCTGGCTAGGCACAAAGCGAAACTCACATGTAGCTATTATAGATGGAAGGCGTTAATAATTTCGTTCTTGAGCTCACAAATCCTAAAGTTTTATCTGAAGGTACCTTCAATGGAGTGCCATATATAGTTACTTATATAAACGATCTGCACATATTTCAAGATCACGTGGGCAAATGTGTTAAATTTTTTGTGAAGAACAATAAGATCTATACTATGATACCTGATATGTGAAGTAGACACACTATTTTTCTTAGTCCATGGAGTTCATGGGTCATAGCTTGGAAACGGCTAATTTCCATCATATAGCCATATAGGTTTATGGAGCAGGAAGAAAAACACCCAAAAATGCTACCAGTATTAGCCACGGGACACTGTTTTTGTGGTATGTTTTATGCTAACAAACTGGTTTGAGATTTTAATGTTTTTGCAGGAATAAACCTGGCGGACCTTCAATTGTTGCCGGAAGCCTTCACCAAAGCTCGCCAGAAAGCATTATCAGGTGATACGGTCCCTCCCAATATCATGAACAACTCTGGTCCAACCGTTTAGAATGCAATCAACCTACGAGGACTTCGGTCGTTACATGGAAAGGATTGATACTTTAACCTTGTATATGAACACATACATCTGCGTAAGGGGGAGATACAGTGACCATTGGTGGACACAGGTGGGGGTGAACAATTTCACTAGGTTTTGAGACTTTCGAAAGAAAGCGAAACTGCGTGCCTTTATACCTTGTATAACAAAAATTGGTCACATGATAAGTTTTGGTTAAATGAATGTCGTTGCCAACGACTTAAATATATATATATTTATGAAAATATCAACCACATTTGCAATGAAGCATCCTCGGGAAACCGCAACCAAAATTAGGGAAATATGTTCAATACTGGAATTGAATGGGCCTCTTCTATTCAAACGTTTTTTTTTCTCAATAACCATTGTAGAGTATATGCTAGGTTTGTTTGGAACACAAACAGTAATTGGAAACCTATTTTACGAGCTTTAGAAACGTGTGTTTCCTTTGTCAAACAAATTGCGTACATGATTGGTGGGCTAGACACTGCATCGCTCAAAACAACTCGCTAAGCCACAATGTGACGAATCAGTAAAATCAGCTGTCAGAATAATATCATGAAGGGAACTCAGCTGCTGTCCCCACTTCTCTGTTCATCGATACAGCTTCCCTCCTAAATCAGGCGGATTCATTGATTTTCCCAAGTTTCCATTTGAACCCCTATTCAAGTACTTAACAACAACACTGGTACTGGTCTAACCCTGTTGGTTCATATATACGTCTGTGGTGTCTGGGTACTCCTTTATCGTGTTGTAACAACACTGGTACTGGTCTAACCGTGACTTATGAGATACTTTCAAACTTTAGAATTACTTCAATAGTCCATACCTATGAAATTATAAAATACTACAAAAAAGAAAGGAAAAACATTTCCTAAATTATAGGATATATCTACTAAGTAAAAGATGCTGTAAATAATTATGATTAGACAAATCTTTATATACAATTTAAAAACATCCTCCTTCTGCGTAACATAAAATATACAGTCTTTCATAATAAAAATTGGATATCTGGATTGTCCATTAATAAATAAAAAAAGATCATTAGTATCACAATTTTTAAAAGTATCACAATACAAAGGACAGTCGCATAAAAAATGAACTTCAGTCTCCACTGAGTTAGTACAGAAAAAAGAAAACCGCTCATGTAAAGGAGTCGGGGGGGGGGGGGACCAGTTGCTATCCTTAAAGGAGCACTACCACATCTGAGCTAGAATACTACGGTAAGGTCCAGGCATATTCTGTTTAACATAGTGTCCGTAATTTGTTTCCATTTACAAGGCCACGATCGCCCAAAGGTTGGCCGAACTAGTCAATTTCGTCCGTCTGTCTTACATTAGTTATAATGACCTTGTTAGTTATAATGACATTTAAAGTGTAGGCAGAAGGTTTGACTCCGGATTCCAAAATGTTACGTAGATTGTACTTTTCGCTCAGCCGAAGTGCTTGCGCGTCCCACGAATTATGTCTCCGCTCCGACTAAACATGAATTTTGTATAATAAACGTCAGTGATCAATAGAATTAACATGGCAATATAGACGAAAAACTTCAGTCCTTTGTTTACTAAGGGTAGATAACCATCCCATATCTCCAATAACGCCAGCATTCAATGTATGTTTTGTCGAACCCATGAACACCTTCATAGCTCAATTCTGAACATTATTAATTACTTTACGCTGAGATTGACCACAGATGGCAGAACAATATAATAGAACAGGTTGGACAAGGATTTCATACTACTTTGTAAACACAGCGTAGGTCATTCCACCACTGCACCAGCATAGTAAAACTTGGAAATAAGCAGTCAAAGGGCTCGACTAGTAGATTTTGACAGTTCTTTCACAGCCAAGTTCATATAAGTATAGTCATCGAACCAGAGACCTAAGTATGTATAACGGTCCGTACGTTCTAGGGAAAGTCAGTTATAATGGAATGCATATTGGGTAGCCGGTATACTCCTATGTCTGAAATGAACAATCTTGGTCTTTGCAGCGTTTACCTATAGTCGCCAGCGGGAGCACCAAGATAACACGATGCTAAGAAGGGCTTGGAGGTTATCCTCTGATAACGTCAAGAACACAATATCGTCAGAATAAAAAAGACAACTAAAACTGGCACCGTCAATGTCAATACCATGTTCTGAAGAGTTTAGCTCTTCAATTAAGTCATTTAAATAGATTGCAAAGAGTGTCGGGAGGCTAAACATCCATGTTTTACACAACGTGACACAGACAGCCAATCAGTATGCAGATTGTTGACGCGTAGACAACATGTAACACCGTTGTACAGTGCAAACACAGCATTATAAATTGCGTCTATTATACCAGACTGTAAAAGCTTATACAACTAACAGTCTGACGACCGTATCAAATGCTTTACGTAGGTCTAAAAAACACGAAAACATCGACTGCTTAGCATTTATTCGGTTTTTCACGATATTATAAAGCGAGTGTACAATGATCATGACAACTTCTGTCCTTGCAAAAACCGTTTTGAGCATCGTGTAGATTTCCAGCCAGGCGCTAAGACGACGGTTGAGGATAGCACAATAGACCTTACAGGGAACGGACAACAAGGTTATACACCGATAGGATAATGGATTTCATAGGGTGAGTGCTGTTTGGTTTTACGATCGGATTGATCAAACCTTGTTTCCATTTATGCGGAACAACTCCATAGTTAAAACAATGACTAATTAATGAAAACATAATATCCACACAAGCATCGTTTTTGAGCCCTTCCGCAGGAATATTGTCGATACTTGCAGCTTTTCCAATTTTTGTACGCCGTAGTGCTTCCATAACTTTCTGACGTTGAATCGGTGCGTTAAGGACCGAAATACCCAGATTATGCTTTAATGCAACCGAGTCTTTTTTGCAACACGCTCCTTAACCATATCATAATGTTCCTCGTTATACATTCCTGATCCGTCGCGTACAGGCTCTCGTAGTCCGTCCGCAAACACTTGAGGACATCTTGCGTGCCAGTAATAATATGTAATGTCCAGGTACACCTTCACAATGTTGTTATAACACTGGTATTTGTCTAACTGAGTTAGTTCATATAAACGTCTGTAGTGTCCAGGTACTCCTTTATCATATTGTAACAACACTGGTACTGGTCCTACAACAGAAGCATTTTCTTTGTAAAAGAAACGATTGTAACATGAATAATTGTTTCCCAAACTACTTGGATATATTTGTATTGATAAAATATTTTATCAAAACATTTTTTTTACCGATAAGGCCAATTTTCATATAAAAGATACAATAGATTGATTGTTTTCAATGAGAAAAAACAAATTTATTGAATGTTAATTGTTTTTGAGTTTCTTTGAAGCGTGCTGATATTCTGACCAATTAGGCATTGGTAAAAATAACGAATCACGATAAAACGCAAACGCTTTTTATTCGTGTATATAATAGTGATCAGTTGGTGTAAATAATGATATAACATATACATGGTTATGAATATTGGATATTCAATGATTTTTTAAAAAAGGCCGTTAGAACAGTAAAAAGACAGCTGTAGGTAAGTAGTTTACATCTGGTATATTCATTGCCATCATTACAAAAACATTTATCTTCTTTTACAGCTCTCATATTCCAACAAATAAACCCCAATTCAACACGCAAATGACTTGGTTTCCAAATCACTAAGCAATTTCATTGATATCTTACGCACATAGTTCGTGATGAATTCCGGGCGTCTAAAAAGCAATTGTCTAGATATCTGAAACATGTCGACCTCCTCGTCAATCTTCATTTGGTCTCTAGCGTTGCTGATACAGCAAAATAGTCCGCTCTGGGAATAACCGTCTCTGAAGAGGTAATACGACAGCGAAATAATTAATAGTTTCACTTATGTAACAGTAACACCCTATGTACTCTATATAAGAACACTTTTCTTACTTGATTGTTAGTGTATAGATCGTCTTCAGCTATGCTATAATTTGTTTTTCATGTGGTATTATTTAAACATATTTCATTAAGAAAACTATCTACAAATTAAATAGGTTAAACAGGGCCTTTGTAAGTCATCTTGCGTGTCATCCTGTGGTAATATTGTTGTCTTACTGTAAAGCGGAGGCGATTCCTGTACACTGTTTTTCAAATAAAGTATAACGGGTAGGGGATAACAAGGTTTTCTTCATGTTTGTTTTTTTTGGCAATTTTACTGTCATACTCCAGCATACTCATGTCTTGCGAAGAATAATACAATATGTTGTTCCTATATCTTTGTCTAGGACAAACGCATCATACAAAATAATATTGTTACCAGGTTGTCGTGTATTATGACGATAAGGTGATACCATATTAGTTAAATAAGAGACAATTTAATTATTGACCTTTCCCATTAGTTGCAAGATATTTTTGCTATTTAGGACCAACCGATAGTATTAACATAAAACATATTTAGGTACATAAACGGAAGGGTACCAGTCATACCTAATATAGGGATATTCAGGCTTAATGTTTGACTAATATATAACCCTCTTAATTCGATATTTACTGGACAAAATCAAGTATTTGAATTGCAAGTTTATTATTTTGTACACAATGATTTGTTATTGATGTAAGTAATAAGACATTTATTCCATACCTGCTCATAACTATTGTTTTTTTCGAGCGATTTGATTTTCTTCTGCTGTCAACTAGTTCTAAAAGCTGAAGGAGACCTGGGAAATCCGGCGGGACCGACACGTGTCTATCCCAACCAGTCATGTGGAACACCCTGATTTTGGCATCATATCTCTGGTCCTGGAATAATAATATATTTCACCAGCATCAGACACTTCCATTATTTTTCCACAATAATCATGCTTAAGTCTTTAGATACTTATACTGTCGGCACAGACTTTTTTTTTACAAACTTTGTCCCATGGTGATGTGTTTTTTCAATTAGCATATGTACGCTGTATACGACATTATTCTGCTTTCTTTCCTAATAGAAATCTACCTGGCAAATAATTATAACCAAACCAACAAGCATGTTGATACATATTATGATTAAGTATGGAAGCAAAATAGTATAAGATATTTTAAAATGCCATTCATTGTAAATGTATTAACATATAATTCGAGGTTCTTATATACCGGTTTAGTTTGTAGGACGTCTCAAAGCGGTTCACAATTTTGTATCCGTAATTATATAGGGCCTTTGCAACCAGCCAATATCTTTCTCAACTCTGCGGGGATCATACAGCCGGTGCTGCAATTTCGGCGCTCACAGCTAGCATTCAACAATTTTAGCACTGCCCAATAACGTACTAATTTTACTACTGAGTAGACTAGAACAAGCGGAGTAAAGCATCTTGCTCAAAGATACAACACAGTGCCGTGACGTGACTCGAACTCGCACCCATTCGGCCACGAGCCCGGCGTCCTACCACTAGACTACCGTGCCTCCGCGTCAACCAACGATGAATGAAAGAATGTCTTACTTGATTAGAGATCGCCACATCCATCAAATCTATATTAGCCAGAACTGAGGATCCTCCTTCATGCGTCAGTTGGAAGGATCCGATTGTTATATCCTTTTCTTCTTGTGGCAACCATTTCTGTGACAGAAACAACTCATTACTCAAGCTCTTATCAGTAACTAGGAGTTTAACTCGGACCGACATATTTGATGAATATTAAACATTATCATGAACATATTTTTTTAGGAATGTCAAGTTTGAAGAAAGAAATGATTGGATATAGTAATATTTTTTTTATTAGACAGTATAGTGTCAGTATTATTTAGATAGCAGTTTGCTAATATAATTCAAGTAAAGATTTGTTAGGTAGTTCCACTAAATCAAAATATTATAGACTTACGACGTGATCGTTTTCAATGATAACGATGGTATCACAACTGTGGTCCATTATCATTGTCATCAGATCAACCACGGTGTCCTCTAAAGGAGTTTGAGTAACTATGTAACCGGTTCTGGACGTGTAGGACTGGAAGAAACATAATTTAGTCTACAAACTAACGGTATATAGACGTTCAAAGAACCATGTTTAAGTGTTTTATTTGACCTTGGTATTAAAGGAGGGCAGATTCCATACAGGTCATGCCCTAATAATTTTCAAGATTCTCAACAATCTATTGAAAAAAAATTGTTACACAATTCCGGCAACATTTAACACAATCAATATTTTTTGACTATTTATACCACGTTTATTTCTAGCTATCGGTACGATACGTGTAATTTTGGTTTTGAATTGATCGCTAACTTTGTATGAGCTAACAATTCGACGTTTTTGTGATATTGTATTAGTACAAATAATAGAAAAAATACACCAATCATGACAGATTAACTAGTTCTCCACCCAGATAGCATTACTATGTCATACGTGATACCAGTGCCTTATGATAACCCCTCGTTTTCTATGAAACATTTTGAAGGTAACGTAATTCGACGTGTTTATTTCAAGCTGTACACATGTACACATAATTATATGAATAAAAACAAGTCATCAAATGTTTTAACGAAATCATATTTACAGGAACTGCCACGGCGTTGATATAATTTGTTCTACCAGAAGAGGCTGAAGTCAAGTAAGGTCTGAACTTATCAACTGAAAAACAAAATGACCAACCATATATCATTTGCTGAATGTATTCAACTGTTTTCATGCAAAATCTCTATGAATCAATTAAAATTGACTATATGTTTCTCATTTGATTGAAACAACAGATTGAGCTGTGTGGAACTGTACCAATAACATACCTGCTAAGACATTTGGGTCCCTGTTCTTATTCCTATTAGTGGGAAGAACTGCTGTTTTATAGTCGCTCTGGGTATACGTTGGCTTCAGCTCTTGTGTCACCTATACAATGCATCAAATTGGGTAATAATAATCATGATTAAACCAATAAAAAAGGTGAATTAATAGAATGAGTTAAAGACAAATCTACTTTGTATACCTAGCATAAAATCTCGTTACAGTGTACGTGCATAGATATATATATATCTATTTAACTTAAACAAAATATAACGGAGGAGGAGGAGGGATTTGGAAACCTAAATTAAAGGAATTGTCAATATTTAAAACATTCTATACATACAGAAAGGTTATTATTTCACTTTTACATATTTGTCTCTCGTTTTAGTATAATGCGCCTCACCTGAAATAAAAAAAAATCCCGGTCCTTGATTTAATGACGTAACATTTCCCTGTTTTGACGTAGATTTGCATGGCTGGGTTGTCGCTGAGGGGGAAGGCACGTATTATTACGGATCACTTAGCCTTATACTTTTCGTTCTTTCAAAGGTCTCTATGTAAGCTTTCCCCTTGAATATAGTCTGCCCTGGTTTATCGAATTATAATTACGGGTTTGTTCACTCTTTGGTATTTGGTACTTGCTTTATTATAACCTACAGGATTTGATGATGGGATATTTTGTCTGAATTAATTTCTGAATAATCCAAGATGGATACTCTTATCCCTCCACAAAATGTATATATAATTCATTTTTTGATTTACAAAAATCATCAAAGTAGGGAATTAACTGGGATGCTTAGCTTTGCTTAACAGATTTTAATCCTCAATAAATAAAGTTTATTATCAGTTAACATAAAGCATATATTACGCTCCACTGTCAAAACTGTAAAACAATATCAGACATTGGTAAAGAGGTAAAAGTTTTTTCCGGTCAATACTTTTGACTGTGTCTTGAAAACGCTGGTCAACCGAAAGAAGCGCGTAATATCCAATCAGATTAACCGGTTAATACATTTCACTATTGCCTGGAAATCTCTGATCTCTGAATTCATAAGGTTAGACAAAATACTGACATTGATGACAAATAAGACACGGAACAAATCTATACTGCTAGGATATACATACATGCTACAACTAAGGATTGTGTTATTGCGTTCATCTCGTAAAAAAAGTTTTATGAACAAAAGACTCAAAGGCAGATTGAGATTATAAGCAAATAATAATTTATTACGAAAACATTTTACCTACATATATGGGCTAAGGGGATATAACAGCTGTGATACTACTAATAATACTTTCATGTATGTACCCGGCCAGCTGTATTATAGCTGTTGACTGGGCAATGTATGAAAGAAACATATATGTACCCCGGAATAAAATTCTTGGGGGATTACGAATTACAAAATGAGTAACTGCCCCTTCGAAACAAGTTTAAAGAATAGAATGTTTAAAGGAACTTGCTGCAGAGCGGGCCACCATCCCTAACTTCCTTAATGGAAGGGGGAGGTGTGATTTTCCATGCTCGGAAACAGCTGGCAAGTGTTTACTCACATAAATGCCTTATTATAAACAGCCATTATATCCCCAGGCATCACCTGAAATAGTCTTGTGGTTGGTTGGTTGGGGAGGGCGGTGGGTCACGAAATATTCAGACACACAAATCTTCTGCAAACAGGCTGCTGAAACTGACCCAAAACAAAGACTGAGTCACGTGACTAAACTGACCAATCACTGACTGTACTTGACCACCGTGTCACGTGGCTGAAACTGACCATAGCTGACCTAACTGCCTTGCGCCTGCGTGTGAAATGGTAGACTTGTCTTAGTTCATAAACCACACTTATGTACATAAGTTTCAATTTATGAACAAAAGACTCAAAGGCAGATTGAGATTATAAGCAAATAATAATTTATTACGAAAACATTTTACCTACATATATGGGCTAAGGGGATATAACAGCTGTGATACTACTAATAATACTTTCATGTATGTACCCGGCCAGCTGTATTATAGCTGTTGACTGGGCAATGTATGAAAGAAACATATATGTACCCCGGAATAAAATTCTTGGGGGATTACGAATTACAAAATGAGTAACTGCCC